AATGTGTCATAAAGCCAATCATATGGTGATACTTTACGGATATTTCACATGTTAAACTAATCTAGCTTAAAATAAAGGGCAAAGCTTATTGTTTAAAGCCGTCTCGTATAAATGTTATATGCTTAAACGATAAGTTCAAGGAATATGTAATTGGGAGAATGTGATCTAAAAAAGTTAGATTCATGAGACCATTCTCTTTTGTATACATATCCTAAACGTTCCTGATCATAGGATTGCCAATTGGGCATTGACAGTCCGTTAAGATTAGTACGTGCTATGTCTTCTCTTTGAGAGAGTGACTGGTCTCGAGTCATTGGTGTGATTGACAACAAGATAAGCATGTAGGTGCTCAATAGAGAATGAGTCCACTGAACGCGATCAACAAGGAGTTCTCGTACTCATGTCACATGAAAGCTCATGGTTAGGATAATGCAAAGTAGTCATTTGACTTGAGGCATCATAGTTGTCTTATGGTTAGGTCCTTGATCTTTGACTATGTCAAAGTCACTTCGTCAAATGGTGTTGACGGCATAGTTGGGGTTAAGCCACTTAGCCATGGAGGCAAGTAAATCCACAACAAGGGATCTCTAACATTCAAACTGTTTGAGGGAGAATACTATGATATGATTAATAATCTTTGGCCATAGTATGAATGAGATTTAGGAATTCGTTCCAAATCACATTCAAGGTAATTATATAAGCAAGAGAATCACATTGGATAGTAGACATGGATAAACTATCAAATCAAACAATGTGGTGAAGAGTATTGTATTAGAGAAAGACTGTATTGCATTGTAATCCTAAACTGAATAGGTTCTCCACCTCTTCTGATTAGCTTTGGTAGCCATGACATACTGCTAGGTGTCACTCATGGTTTGTGAAACCCTAAAGGTGTATAATCACTAAAGGGAGAATTGAAAAGTAAGTTTCAATTCACAATCGATTTGAATAGTTCTAATCGCCCATTGCCTTGCTAAAAGGAACCTAATGGATCATACACCGTGTAAGGTAGAGATTGAAGAAACAACGGAGATGAGTAAGAATAATTAAATGGTTTAATTATTTATGGCTATGATTAATTAATATGTTAATTAATCAAATGAATAAGTTTGTTTTAGACCTCGGGTTAGTTTTGGGCCTCAAGGCCCAATGGGCTTTGAATGTCAAGTCCAATAACTCAAGTTGTATGACAACTTGAAAATACAAAGGGCATGAAAGCCCAATGAACCCACATGACCGACCATAGAGAGTGTGAGGGAGAATTTGTTTTAATTTCAATTATGCCACTCAATGTAAGTAGCTATACAAAAGAAATTATAACCCATTCCCTCATAAAGGTTTTCTAGAGAGAAAAGAGAAAAATACAAAAATCTCTCTCTTCTCTTAGGAGGCCAGCCACCCTAGGAAGAATGGACTAGCATCCATTTCTTCCTAGGTCACTCATCTCTTCCTCAATGCTTTCCTTAGTGTGGAAACTTAGAGGTTCCATTTATTGGGAACTTGGAGAATCTGTTCCTTCACTCATATCCAAGAAGTCATGGAGCCAAGAAGCAAAGTTCCTCCATCCACATCCATGGAGCCAAGAAGCAAGGAGACTAAGGAAAAAAGGCCCTCACATGGGTGAATATTCTTTGCTAAGCAAAGATGTGCTTCGATGGTATAAAAGTTTCTCAACTCTTTTATTTAAGATTTGAGTTGAGTCTTGGTTCACCACAACTACTAGGCCTTGAATTTCATGTGTAAAGTTTTGTTTTTGAGTGCATACAAGGATGATTCCGTCATTAATTGTTAATTGCATGCATATGTTGCTCAAATGAACTTGTTTTCACAAATTATTCCTTCACGGGAGACAAGGAGGGTAGGGGTGGGCACTATTGGCTCACCAAACAAGGCAAGAAAAGACGAAACGGAAAATACCTCGCGAAACATAAAATTATCGAAATGCCCTCAACGTTTTGAATTCCATAAAATCTTTGTTCTAGCTCCAAATTCAATTTCGCTTGCGCCCACACATTTGTAGCGATGAGTACTACAAGGATATGCTAACAAAATGGGTTAAATGTCACAAAATACGAGGGTCAATGAAAGTTTACAATTTCGCCTCAAAGGGCATTTTCGTAAGTTCACACTTTTAAAATTAATAAAAATGTAAAATTAGGAACGGATTGTTACATTGAGAAAGTTTCATTAAACACTACTGTTCACTCTATCTCTTTTGAAAACAATAGGTTTTGAGAAACAGGGTTTTGCTGCTTATGTTTTGATCCAAATTTTGGGAAAAAAAAGTGCACTTTTATATTTACCAACACATTTTGCACTCTAAATTTTTTTCATAGCTACTTTTTGAAAAATTTAAGCAATCCATAGGTTGGAGGGTCCATCGCAGTATCCAGTTATCGACGCCTATTCCATCTCACCTACTTTGCTTCACCTTATGTCCACTTCAGGGATTAGGATTCTTTTTCCTTTTCTTTCCATCTCCTTCCCTCCCTTCTTCTCATATTCTCTATTTTGTCTTTTCCTTTTTTATATAAAATTAATAGAAGATATTAATATAACTTAACCATGATTGTTTAAATACGAGAAAAAAGAAAGAGAGGAAAAAAAGGAGAAGAGAATCTTACTCCCCACTTCAGCAGGTCACTCCCACCCCGACCCACTGCAAAAGTTTCACTCCCACTCCACGCCAATATAAATAATAAAATATATACGCACTCCATTCCCTCGAGCTCACACTCTATTCATTTTGCCCTCATAGAGCTTCTCTGCTCGCCTCGCCGGGTATTTGAGGCGTTGACGGCATTGCCTTCTGCTCTCTGCTTCCTACTTTGCCGTTCGCTAATTGCTGTTCGTACAGTTTCCTGCAGCTTCAATGGCGGCTCCATTGGAGCTAATTGCATATACCTACTAATTTATACGCTCTTTGTTTTGTAAGTCCATTTTCGTTTAATTGTTTTTCATTTCTCTACGTTGAAATTTATGATTTTAGATGCCATTGTGTTTATTTGAGTTGATGGTATTCAAAATTTGAATTTTGAGATGGGTTTTGTTGATAGGCGTTTTCAATTTGGTTACATTACATTTGGTGGTCGTTTATTTTCTGGTTGGTTGCTGAGAAAGTGTGGGAAATTGCAAAAGATTTAAAATTGGAACTTTCGTTGTTTAACTGACTGAAACTACTATCAAGGCGGAAGAAAGGGCATAAAAAAAACCCACCCGGTATCATAAAATTCAATGTTCAAACTTACTAAGCAAAGCACAAATTTCTTTCCTTCTTTTTCTTTTTCCTTTATAATTTTTTAATTTCATAAATATTTTGTGCATCAACTTTAATTGATTAAATAACATGAGTGAAAATTAACAAAAAAAAAAAAAAAAAAGGTGTAATTTTGCACCACTTCACGATGGGTCTTCCATCTCGTATTCATATTTTGTGCATCCTCACCCAGCCATGGAATATTTTGTGCATCCTCAATGAGTCATCCTCATCGTCCAGAAACCTTGACACCTTCAAATCTCAATGATCTTTTCACGTCCCAGGTCTCATCCCCTCGATTTGCTGAACAACTTGCATACTCACCTGCTTTCTCAACCTCGAAAATATCTGGTGTTCGTAATCAACTCCAGCAGCAGCAAACCATGTTATCTCCTTCCAGAACAAATGTGTTCTCTCCAAGGACGGTTGACCAGAATCTCCTGCAAGCTTCATTTGGTCATTCCTCACCGAGGATGATGTCACCTCAAAGCATAAAGCCTCTTTCTCCAGTAGGCACTAGGGTTTCCACTCTTGCTCAGCGCAAGAAGCAGAAGCCGCTATACAACCCCAACTCATGTGATGTTGGATCCAATGGTGTTGGTTCCCCTGTACCTTCTATATCAAAATGGGAGTCTACCTAGATTGGTGTGTCCGAACAGATGAGCTGGGTCATTTAAAAAAAATTCGATTATACTGAACATAATGTCGACGAGCCTGATGTTTCATGGGTTCAGTCTCTGGTGAAGGAATCATTGTCTGATGCAAAGTAAATCACATTTGTTCCAGAATCAGGCACACCGCTACCTATCGGGTGTTCTAGTTAAATGCCTCTCCTAGTGAAAATAATGATCATGCAGTTTCCAAAGCATTGATTGAGCAGTTGCAGTGGTTGATTAACATGTTGCTTGGTGAAAATGAAACCATTTTTACAGAGCGCGGAGGTAGCTACAACAGAAATACAATTTCTTGAGTTGGTTGGTGATAGTAACAATAGGAGAAATGAAAACTCCCATTTGGGTTATGAGAAGACCAAACCAGGTGAAGGATCTTCTCTCCCACATCTATCATGATGTTAAGTATTTTTTTTTTTTTTTTTCTGTCCTTAAATAATTTGTTCTTTAAAAGTAAAACTGCAAAAGCTCTTGTTCTACCATTTTTTGATACTGTAATGGAATCGAGGAAAAATATATTCATCTATTTTCCTGTATTGCGCGCTCTATTTTTTGAATGCTTTGGATTAGTCCCAGTGAACAAAGTAGAACATATTCTTCCAAGAAAGAGAAAGATAGAGTTGCACAATTTGCACGTGTTGCGATTTTTCAAGTATACTTTGAGGTATTCTATACTCTGGAGTTTTTAATCGTTTGATCATTTAATCAAGAATACAATTACCAAGACGTAACGATTAAAAACCCCGCATAGAATCTGAAATAAATTATTGCAGAGGCAGATGGTGATAGTCTTGACACTTCCTTCTTGATGTATATTACATGTTATTCTTCTCAAAATTATGCCTTCAATATCCAATTCTTTCTTATCTTTGATTATCTCTTCATTTGCTTTTCCCCTCCATTTGTTTGTTTCCTTATTTCTCTGTTTCATGGTGAGGTGAATTCCAATGGGGGTTATGATTAGATGTGATGCTGGACCACTTATGCAATGATATATTTTTCGAACGTTGAAAACAGAAGTACCACTAAATTATTTGTCCGGTTTCTCCATTCGTTAGCACTTGATTTTCTCCTTGATTGAATCTGATTTTGATTAATATTTCAATTACATGATACGATTCCATTTGAATTGCACAGAAGTTCAATTCCTATTCGGTTCTCCAGTCACTATGGACCTGTGGTTACAATTTTATAAGAAATATGCAGAGAAGGTGCAATCCCTTCTCAACATATACTCATAAACTCGAACCAAATTTTGATCAAGGGTTTCCCCAACAGGACAAGTTACATGCAAATTTACTTTTTATATGATTTATCTACATGTAAATAAAATCGGAAGAATGCAAGGAATGGAAGCGAAAAAAACTTTTTTAACTTTCGAGTAAGTAAAACTGGGTTAGCGATTACGCCCGGAGGAATTCCCAGGGTCCTGTTCTTGTTCCTATCCTGCAATTTGCATACCAAAATTTTAAGTTAGTTATGGGAATTTTTGTGTTTCAACGGGTGTGCGGGCGAAAACAGTAAGATTATACCTCCAAAATCCGGCCAATGTCCGGAGACTCATATAGATGGCCAAAGCAACCCAGATTCCGATGAATCCATTAGTAGAGGAGAGTATAAACAGAACTAAGATGCTGACAATAGCCACCAGAATCTGGAGAAAATCGTGAACATCACGTTAACTTGTGTCCCAAGAAACTGAATGTGGTGCTTCTCCTCTAAGCTTTTACTTAGCTGCAAATCATTACTTGAATTACAAGAAAGTGATGCAATACTTGCCATGGAAAAGGCTGAGTAAGCAAAATCAGACGCTCCAAAGTTGACACCGTCTAAAACAAACGCCAGGGTATTGAGGGGTTGAGTAGCTGCAACAAACTGATTTCGAATTTGAAGATTGTTAGTTCAAATCAAAATGTCATTTAGGATCTAAGAAATGTCAGCGGAAGCATTGTTTTCTGTTTTGAGACAAGGGGACTTACCGGAATACCTACGCCAATGAGATGTAGCACACTGACATCTCTGGTGAATAACCTTGCCCCATATTGCAAACCCACTCCCAGTATAGCAGCGAGCATCAACCCCAATACAAATCCCAGCTGCAGTGTAAACGCAATTACGAATTTTTAGAGAAACTGACATCATATGGAATCCATATTTGATCCTTCTGAAAAATGATTACGCACCTGTAACACTCGGGATGCAGTGGCTGTTGCCTTATTGTAGTCTTTTTTCGCAAATGCACTTGCAAGTATGGCCTGAAAGTGGAGCCAAAAATTTCAGTGTGAAGGTAGTTGATCATCATCGGTTCTGATTAAACTTAACTGTCTAATTGAAAAACTAGAAGTTGATCATTTCTATCTATTTACTAAAGGTTTTCTAACTAATTTAGTAAATATCCATATTGCAGTAGTCTCATGCATTAACGAAATGATATCCGACCTGTCCAGCAACAGCCAGCCCATCGGCTAGAAGGGAAGTTGCCAACCAAATCTGCAAACAGACCTGAAATGCCGCCATGGGTGTCGGTCCCTGCCGTGCAGCCAACGATGCGGCCAGTGTCACACAAAATGTAGCAGCAATGACCCTCATTAATAATAGAAAACCTGGAGGGAAGAAAGGACTAATGGGGTATCAACTTCATAATTAACTCTATCTTTTAACAAACGCTTCCAATGTTTTCGGCTCATTAAAACCAAGGCCCAAGGATTCGAGTCACAACTGCCAGTTACAGAATAAAATCCTTACCGTTTTTAAGAAATCGACTAAATTCCAGATGTTTGATACTTGGGGGTAATAGATCAACTTCAGCTGCTAATCTCCGCAAGAGTATGAAACATATCAAGTACCTGCAATTACCATTTTAACAATAAGAGGCAAAGCTGACATACAATGCATAATTCCAGAGAGCGCACACAACACAATAGGACCTAAAACAAACACGAAACTTGGGAGAGAAGATAGATGAAACTTACTGAGATATAACATGAGCAATAGCTGCACCGCTGACGCCCAGATGGAAAACAAAAATAAATATTGGATCTAAAATTATATTTGTTACATCTCCTGCCACTGAATTTAAGCAGATCATTAATTTATGCATTAGAAAGCTGAATAATGTTTTATTCTGGTGAAATCGATTAGGTCAGAAACGAAAGTTGAACTCCATTAAGGTATACCAGTGGCATATAAAGGAGTTTTTGTATCCTTGAACCCACGGAAGATCCCTTGCATAGCGAGCGAAAGAAGAACTGCAGGAGCACCGAGTGACCTCAGCATCAAATACTGCTGTGCAGGTTTTAGCATAGGGGAATCCTAAACAAACAATAGTTCCGTCTGTTATTAGAAGTTAGAGAACACAGCATTTTAGCGCTTGATAAGAAATGTTATTAAGTAAAACCATAAGCCAAAAAGAAAAGTATTCACTTACAGAACCGACTCCCATAAAGTTCAAAAGAGGTTTTGCGCCAGCTATGAGAAATATGGCCTGGATAAGGCCAAGGATGCTGCCAATAACCATTGCTGATGATGCTGACGGCATGTACCTTTTTTGATAATCGTTTTTAACGATTTCAAAGCTTGCAACAACTGATTTTGAGTTGTATGCGTTCTGAGTGGTATCTGAGAAATAATATCGAAGAAAAAAAAAATTATCAAGGAAGAAGCTTTTAGATCTATGTAGTCATATTCTGTGAGTCTTTACACACTGCATACGAAGTACATTATAGAAAAACATGGAGCATACTGCTTTCTGGAATCAACTGTTCTGTTTCATCATTCATTGATGAACCAGTTTCCAGGTAATCGTTGTCATTCGCCTTGGGACTCACTGTTCCCATAGCATCCTCTTCGGCAACAAAAGACGTTGTGACACTAACAAGTGGGAATATTGCAATTTTTGATACTTGATTGAACAAAGCAATAGAAACTCCTACAGCAGCAAGCTCCACTGGACCTTTAAACATTAAGACAATTTATTTCAAATTGAAGAACATACGCAATGTTGAAATGAAAGAAAAAAATGAGGAAGGAAAGTACCTATTTGGCCAATGAATGCTGTGTCGACTAGAGAAGCGATTGGATCAGCTGTCAAAGCTAGCGCTGCAGGCAATGCAATTGACGCTATTTCTAACCCAAGTTTGTCCAAATTAAAAACACATCTACGCATAAAAGAGAGAGAATCCAAGTATTAGATAGACCATCTATTTCCAACTTTAGAACATACATTAACTCACTCATACAATCCTTTTCGGTCGTTTCAATTGTAATTACAATTCATTTGATAACTTTATACGTTGATGAAATTGTAGGACTACAGATATGTCAGGAAAGGGAATGATAGCTACTTTTTCTTAATTGCAATAATAAAATCATTTGGAATGTGGCTCTTGGATCAAACATATCAGAGGTAAGAAAGTCTGAGCTGGTCTAGCCATGAATAAAATAAATTACAACAGCCAACGGATGCGAGTAAAAGCTCGCGTTGCTAATAGGAAGTACTTTTCACTGCTTTTCTGCTTTGTTCAGTCAAACAAAAACTCTAATTACAAACCAAGGGACCTCCTAAACAGGAAAAAGAAATGTAAAATGCATAAAACCGATTGAAATGATTACCCGCAATCCTTGAAGAAAATGTAGATAGAAGTTTTCCTTGTGTTCCCATACGAATATGAACCATCTTCTTCTTCAGCCATCAGTTCGATAGCCGATTCAATGAATTTCTTTTTCACCGATGTTACAGCACCGTTGTTTAATGGAAGCCGAATTATCGAAGCTATGGCGATAAAATTGATAGACGAAAATTCACAAATTGTGATGCAGGCCCTGCAGATTATGGTGTCTGCCAATTCATAACTCGATTTCTTACCAACCTAAAACATTCAACTCAAAGAAATCACAGACGAAGATTTATCACCAGATAAAGTAGAATAAAAGAAAGTTGGGTTCTAAAATTAATATTCAAACTGAGAAAATTATAGAAGCTTTAGAAAATTAAAGAAGTATGTTTCACTTGAACAATTCTCCAATGAAATTCCAACCTTCAAACTAAACATTCAAATTCAAAGGCTTGTAAGTTGTAACACTTTCAAACCTTTACAAGGAAAACAATCAAATTAAAGTCTGAATAAATGAAGCGAAAATGAGGGCGTACCGAGTTGACTAGGTCAACGTGCTTTCTCGTCTACAACCAAGTTCGAATTCCTCCCCTGCAAATATCATCCAGTTTTCGATAACTCTACAGAATATCACTTGAACTGAAGAAAAAATTTCTCAGTGTAGAAAAAAAACTAACCAAGAATTTAAAGAAGGAAAAAATAATGTAAAGAAATTAAGACATGAAAAGTAAAACTGAATGACCTTTGAACTTTGAAGAGCTTTGAAAGTTGAACAACGATGGTGTGCGTGCGTGTTGAATTTAGGTACAAATTCCAAAGTCCATGAGAGAAAAGACCTTCACAACAGAAACGGACCAACTGAGGCAGGCTCTGCTCTTTCCGTGTACGTTAGAGAGAAAGCTGTCGGAGTCAGGCTCTTCCTGGCCCGTTTATACCTCCCTCCAATGAATATTCTTTTTTTTGTTATTATTATTATTATTATTATTAGCGAGTAATGCTCTACTTATTATTTATTTATTCATTCACTTGTACCATCTTTCTAATAGAGTTAGAGTCTGCCAACGCATGTGAGTTCGGTAAAAATTAGTGGTAAGAGTAGCATTTTGGTTATTATTTACTATTACATTTCTGCTAGTTTTATAAATACTACGACAATAACAATAAAGTCTTATCCTATTTAGTGGGGTCGGCTATATGAATCTTAGAACACTATTGCGCTAGGTTTTATGTCATGTTTTTTGTTAGATCCAAGTAGTCCAAGTCTTTTCTTAGAGTCTCTGTCCAAATCTTCCTAGGCTTTCTTCTACTCCCTTGATCCAGGCTCTGTTTCGTAATCATATCCTCTAACTGAAGTGACTGTAGGTCTTCATTTCACATGTCCAAACTGCCTTATCCCATTTTCGCTTATAAATAACTTTATATGTGTCATAAACCCCTCAGTTTGAGCTTCATTGATGTCTCGAAGTAGGTTCTTCTTGGCCAATAAGTGGCCACTTGTAATATAAGTTATGGTAGGGTCTCAACCTTATATGGGCAAAGGATTTTTATCACAAATGGCCCCTAAAATTGACCATCACCATCAAAATGGTCCTTGAAATTAAAAATCAATCAATGTAGTCCCTAAAAATAGGTGTCGCAAATCAATGTGGTCATTCCGTCACAATTCTATTGAAAATTTCGTTAAGTGCTGATGTGGCACATAAATGGGCCCTACAAGATTTACGGATTTTTATCATAAATGGTCCCTGAAATTGACCTACACCATCAAGATGGTCCTTGAAATTAACCCACACCTCAATATGGTCTATGAAATTGAAAATCAATCAATGTAGTCTTTGAAAATAGGTGTTGCAAATCAAAATAATCATTTCGCCACAATTTTGTAAAAAAAATTGTTATGTGTGCTGATGTGGGTTTAATAATTGATTAAAAAAGTTGTCTAAATACCTTTTTGCACAATGAATTTTTTTTCTTCTTATAATAGGGCCTACTTCGAAGATACATCCCTTCCATAAATTCTCAAAGGCACAAGGCTTAACCAAGGTCTAAGAGGGTGTGTGGAAATAGTTTTCAACCAACAATGGACGCACCTCGATTATAACCTCATTATCTCAAGGCAAACCTCGTCGTTCTTTGCATCACCAGACCGCCAGGGAAGTGTTGAACAAGCTCTTAACGATTAAGATTGTGAGGATGTTGATCGCCTAAATGTTAACGGTGATGTCTTAGTTTTAACAACCCGTTTCGAAAATTTCATTTTAATTAGTTAAAATTACGAAAATACCCTGAACATTGACTTGCGTTGACTTTCGTCCATTGACATATTCGAATTCTTCGTTTATTGTATTTCCGTAGCTCTCATTGATACGAACACATATGAGCGAACAAAATCGAATTTGGAGCTAAAACGAAGCTCCTACAATTTTTGAACGACAAAGGCATTTTTGTAATTTCACAAGTGGAGATATTTCTCCACTTTTGGACCTCTACATAGGTGACATGTGGCACCCTATGTCTGGTGCCCTTTTTCTTCCTTCCCTGTGATCTCTCTCTAGAACTCTCTTCCTTTTCTCTCTCGTCTTCACTCTTCTCTCCTCTTCGGCAAACTCACACACACCCACCTACATACACATAGATCACCACCATCACATCCATACCATTATCACCACCTGGACCTTCTCTCTCCCTTCACCTCTTCGATATCACTCTCTCTTATTCTTAGCACTGTGCTAGTGAGCTCCGACGAGATCCCAAGCTTTTCAGACCTAGGTAAGGCTCCAAACGTTCCTAAATCTTTGTGATTCATGTTTAGAAGTAGGTTTAGGTAGTTTTTGAAATAATTTGGTGACTTTTTTGACCTAGAAACCACTCGAAAGGATCTCTTTAGTTTTTCCGGTGAAGGATCGACGGTTGCAAGCGATTTCCGGCCGATTCTGACCTCGACATCATCCCTTTCTGGTATGACTCGAATCCTCACTTCTGTTGGAAGTATGCCCACAAAGCCACTCATTTGATGTAATAGCTTTTGGAATACTTATTGTGTTAAATTATTATATGTTTAATGAAGGGCAAAGCTTATTGTTAATCACTATTTATTGTATTATGTGTTTAAGCAATAAGGGAATCCAAGGAATGTATTTAATCTAAGAGAGAAGTGATCTAAGTAAGTTAGATTAACGAGATCCTTCTCTTATGTTCATTCCTAAAACATTCATAGCCATAGGATTACCAATTGGGCATTGATAATCTGCTAAGGTTAGTATGTGTTACGTTAACTTAAGCGTGAGTATGACTAGTCTCAAGTCATTTAGTGTTGGACATTGAGACAAACACATAGGTGCTCAAAAGGTAATTTAGTACATTGAACCACAATCAAAAGAGAGTTCAAACATACATGTCATGTAAGAACTCAAAAGTTGCAATATGCAAAGTAGTCATTTGACCTGAGGCATCATAGATGTCTAATGGTTAGGTCCTTGATCTTTGATCATGTCAAAGGCATTCCATCGAAAGTGTCCATGACAATGTTGGGGTTAAGCTATCTAGTTATGTAGGCATATGAATGCACAACAAGGGATCTTTAACCTTCCATGGTGGAGGAAGAATACTCTGAGATATGATTCGGGAGTCTTTCGCCAAAGTATACGAATATGACTTAGGAAGTTTGTTCCAAATCATATTCAATTGAATCATATAGAAGTATCACATTAGATAGTAGACATGAAACAAAATATCAGTCAAACAATGTGATTAAGAGTATTGCATTAGAGAAGGACTGTATTGCATTGTAATTGTAACTGGATAGGTTATCCAACCACTTGTACTTCGCTTGGGTAGCCATGACATATTGCTAGGTGTCACTCATGGTTTGTGGAAACCCTGAAGATTAGAAAACACTAATCTTCATCATAGGGAGTATTGAAATGTAGTTTCAATTCACAATTGATTGTTAAGAGTAACAATCACCCACTGCCTCGCTAATTGGAACCTAATGGATTGTACAACGAGTAAGGATGAAAGTGAAGAAATATAAATGAGATGGATAAGCAATTAAATGGTTTAATTGGGAATGGTCAACATTAATTAATTAGTTAATTAATTATACGAAAGGTTCGTATTGGGCTTTCAAGTTAGTTTCGGGACTCGGGCCTAAAAGGGTTTTGGTCCACAAGGCCCAATATGTTTAAGTTGTATGACAACTAAAACAAAATGGGCAATTAGCCTAATAACTATAGGATGGCCGGCCATAGGGTAAGTGGTAATGGACTTGGCTTAATTGCAAGTTTGCCACTCACATGTGAGGTGGTATAAAGGAAACTTTATAGACATTCTCTCACTAGGGTTTTCTTTGAGGAAAAAGAAGAGAAACTTTTTCTCCCTTTTTCTCTATAGAGGCCAACCACTTAGGGGAAAAATGGCTAGCAATCTTTTCTTCCTCTAAGTCATCCATTTCATCTTCCCACCTCATCCTTGGTGTGGAGACTTAGAGACACCAAACTTTTGGTGTTCTTGGAGATCCTTTCCTTACATCCTCAAGGAGCAAAGGACTATCAAAAGGAGGAAAATCACAAAGAAGATCTAAGGAGATAGGAGGTGACTTGAAAACCCTCCACTTGGGTGAATCCCTTATGTAAACAAGGATGAGCTTCAAGGGTAATGAATCTCAAAATCATTTCTTCTCTTTAATGTAGTTAAAGAGGTTTGTGGTTCACCATTCACTAGGCTTTGAAAGTCATGGGTTTTAGATTTTTTTTTTAATGCATGCCTACTTTAAAGTGTTATTAGTTTGCTTGTTCAAATGTTCTCAGATGTTCTTAGCTAGGACAAATTTATCCTTCAACTTCTCTAGCTTTGTGTTGGCGTTTGAATCATTGTTTTTAGTTGAGTTTCGACCCCAAAATTGAGTCAGAAAAATTCTCGGCCGAATTTCGGCCTTCTTCTTCACTAGGTCCGGTGACTCGTGAGTTTAAAAGGCCAAGCCCGGCTCGAAGCAACCTGGCCCAACTCTAAACCCAACCTAAAACCTTGGGCCTATATAGCTAAGCCCAAAACATAACCTGCCCCAAGCCCAATCCTAAAATCGGCCTATCCACCTATTAGCCTAGGCCCAATCCTTTGGGCCTAAACCAAAGGCCAAAACCCACATTGAGAACTAGCACAATCCAGAAACCTAGTTCCACGGTTGGTGTGTGGGTGTGCATGGGCATGCATGGCGACTGGTGCACGGAGCACATGCGCCTCCATCGGAGGTACTGTGATGACTTTTCTGGTGAATTTTCCGGCAACCCAACTCGGCGTGTGGCGGCCCATGTGACGGCTTGTGGCCTTCCGGGCTGCCGCCCTGGGGCGGCGTGTAGGGGAACCTGAGGTCCCTCTTTGGGTTTTTCGACGTGCCGAATTCGAATCCGCTCTCTTTGTGTTTAGGTGCATTGGTTGGAAGTGATCCAATCCTCCCTAGTTCGAGTAGCTCTCCAGTAGTGGAATACTTGTGAGTGGATCCCTTCTTAAATTGTATATTTTTATAAAATCTTAGGTTTGCATGCATTTCATATTTCATGAATCGAGCACAGTTTCTATTATGTTTCACGGAGTTCTATATTTATAATTTATTTGAATTACTCTTATGAAATAATTATGATTTATTGAATTACATTTTCTGAAAGGTTATGAATGATGAGATTTTAGTATATGACATTCTATGGCTTTTGAATATGATTACTTTATGGATTTATGAATATGGTTTATCATGATTGTGACGAGGCTTGAGCTTTTGAGTTTCAGATTTGGATATGAGGTTTTGAGGTATGTTTTCGGTACGTCTCTAGTGGATTATTATACATCCACACAACATGGGTATGTAAACGTCTATGACCATAGGACACAGTTGATGATGTTTATGTAGATACTTATTCTCCGGCGTA